ATATATACATACTTAAATACATATATTTTATATATATATTTTTTAAACTTTTATTTATCTATTTTATTTGTTTATTACTATTTCAATACATTCAATTTGCATCAATTTATTTTGCTTATTTTGAATTCTTAGTTATACATCCAAAGAGCCATCTATTACAGGGCAGGGAAGGTGAGTTTGAATACAAATTGTTTCAGTTTCGTTAATAAATTTGATCAAACTACTAATCAATAATAAATGATTAAATTAAATTAATTATCAATGATATAAAAAATATTTTAAATCATCAAGTTGGTAAGTCAAATAACAATAACTATTTTTTTCTGGATATTGTAATAAATTTAAAAAAAAGTTTAGATTATATTGTAGAAAGATGTCAGCTGGAAATGAATTACCAAAGAAAAAAATTAAACTTATAAATTATAAAAGTGTTAATTTTAAATTCTTTTTAAAAAGGATATATATAGGATATAAAATTTAGTAATTTTAAAACTTTTAAAATTTTGAAATTTTAAAAACTTTAAAAATGTAAAATTTATTATAATGTTGCACTGACGAGACTAGGTAGTCGAAATAGTACTATATGCATACATGTAGATAATGACATCTTCTGTAAATAGGAATTTTGTTAATAGCATTAACAAGTTAAGCTTGGTAGATTGGAGAATTATTCGAAGAATCGAGAAACTATCATATAGATTGAGTACTGTAAGAAACGCCGTGATCTTTATTAATAATATATATATATATATATATATATATATATATATATATATATATATATATATATATATATATATATATATGTTACATGCTAAGTCATACCCCACATAAGTTCGCCCCCCCAACCAAAATCTGAAATGACGCCCCTGGTACCAGATGTAAAAAATTTAAGAAAATTACCAAATTTGCTCATCTTTTTTTTAGGAAATATGAAGATGTAATAAATGTATCGTTATCAAGCTACTCAGATCCAGATGAAACTAATTTGAAGAAATTATTTGATGAAATAAAATTAAATTTACTTAAGTGACAGAGAAAAAATTTTCAAAACTTTTATTACTTGTTTTTATATATGGACAATATCTGTAAGGTCAACCAACAGCTAGTTCAGTGCCAAGATAATTTGAGCAAATTTTACTTGAATTCAATACTCTGGTTTTAGATATTGCTAGCTCTCTTCATGATAATTGTCGTAAATATTTTGCATGCTATGCTAGTTTTGGTTGAATCTAAACAATTAAACATTTTTTAAAATAACTTTTTACAAGCTTTCAATTACATTTATTTGACATTTGAGAAATTTTATTGGACATAGTTAATATAATTGGAACATTTTTTAAGCTTCGATATGGTTAACAATAGAATTTCATCAAATTATCTAAGAGGAACTGGCTTCCCTTGTTGTGAGCAATTTTTTAATAAAAGTCAGAAAAAGGACAGTTTTCTGTGTAAAATTGACGAAAAATAGAACGTGATAAGCAAGAAACGGTCGTCAGCCATACTATTTTGGTCCCTTCCGTAAAATGTTTGGCCCCCCACGTGAAAATTTAAATCTTTTTAAGTTTTTAGACCCCCGTCAAAGTTGTCCTAATCCACCACTGATTGTAGTTACCAAGAGGTTTTTCAATCTAATAATCTCATTAATAAAGCCATTGAATGCTAGTCGTTTTAGCTTTGTTTTTAAAGCTTTATGTACAAGTTTTTGATAAATTGGTCAATTTTACTGACTAAATTGATATAACATAGAATTTTATTTTTATTTTTTTGATAAAATTGTTATGTAACGTATATCGTATACAAAGTTTGAAAAAGTTTTAGAAGCTCTAGTTCCCCTCCTGGCAACTGTTTTTTTGTTTGTGATTAAAGATGGACGCCAATGCATCTAGGTCAACCTTCAAATCCACTAGTAAAGTTCGATTCTAATGCGTAATACAACGTTTCTATTTGGCAAAGATTGGTGGCCAAACTCCTTGATAGTTTGCGAGTTGCAATTAAAAATAGTTACTTGGATTAGTTTAGTGTTTCTAATACTCTTTGCATCAAACAAACGTTCAACAAAGTTTGGGTTTGAAGCAGTTGTGTTTATCTATTGGAAATCTTGAACCTACGGAATGACGAACAATTGACGATCGTTGGAAGCTACAACACTTGTGTTGGAAAAATAGAGATCACTGAAGTTATAACATTGGTGTTGGTAGTTACGATCGTCAAAATTACAACAATATATATTAAAAGATTAGTAAAAAATATTTAAAAAATTTGTAAAGCTTTTCATTTCCACTTTTTTCTTTTTCTGACATTACTAGGAACTGAGCTGTTGCTGGCTTTACGGGTACATTCGTATGCACAATTTCAATGTTAACAAACGTTAGCTGCCTTCAGACAAGTTATTATCAACCGTCCATTGCAATGAAAGTTTACATATTTAGCATCCGTCTGGTGTCGGTCAGTTAAACCCCTGTTTATTTTCGTTTCTATAGTTTTATCTAAGATTGATTATTTTAACTCACTCTACTATGGTCTTCCCGATTCTACACTCTATTCTTTAAGTAAAGCTTTTAAATCTGCTACTCGTCTAGTTGCTCGGGTCGTTTTCTTTTCTCATATATTTCCATATTTTGTTCTCTTGCACTGGCTACATATAAAATATAGAATAATTTTAGATATTGCTATTTATATAGAATAATGCTCATTTGTGTATAAGTCTCAATCTAAATTATTTCCTAAGTACTTATCTGATATTTTAATTGTACCTAAACGGTTTACGATAGTCTTCTTATTCTCATCATTGTTAATATTCATATTTTCGTTGTTAATATTCATATCTTTTTTCTTGAATCATTTGGCGAAAAATAAAGATTCCAGACTTCAACAAGAGTTCAATGGGATTCAGTCCAGGACCTTTTGAAGAATATGTGCTGTTGTCATCAAGGCAATCTTTTAAACCTCAAAAATTGACGGTGTCCGTTTGTAGATGCTAGTAAATTTCATTTCTAACTGTACAGAGTGGGCCAACTATGATTGGGATTATCTTGTTTTGGTGCTCCACATTCCACTTATTTCAATTTCTAAATCTTTGAATTTACTTTTTTCTGTCTCTTTCTTTGAAACGTTTGCATCATTGGGCACGGCGATATCTCTTAGGTAGCATAATTTTTTGTCATGAAAGATTACGTCAGGGTGTTTGCCCATAATTGTTTGGCCTGTAATTCTAGATACATCCCAAAAGATGGTGATGTGATTTTCGTTTAGCACCTTACTCGGGATATGCTTGTAATTTTTTCACATACTTCTGTACCTAAAGTCTTACTAATAACCCAGTCTACATAACTAGTTTTGAGTGCCTGATCCTGAGTGGCTATGATGAGGCTTTCCGTCTTTTCTTTCAGCCTAGAGCTTCTCAACCATGCCATCGATTATTTTGTCTACCAGATCACAAAAAATTGATCGTGCAAAGGTTTGTTCATCAATGTTCTCTCCTTTCTCTTCCAGCTTTATTTTAAGTGTTGTTTTCAAATTCTGCCTGGCAGTTGTTTCTAAAGAATATATGCTGATGATTTTATTAGCTTCCTTTTTCAAAGAATATTTGCTTTTTTAGGTGATGAATTTTTCCAATTGTCAACATTTTCTTCGTCTTTGATAAAAAATTTTTAATGTCACTCGTCAACCAATTAACAACACCAAAACTATAAGTGATAACAGGCATTGCTAAAAATTAATCTATTATTACTATTATTATTATTATTGTTATTATTATTATTATTATTATTATTATTATTATTATTATTATTATTAGAGCATTTGTATAGCACCCATTAGTAATGGATATTTTCACAAGCGCTAATACAAAATTAAAAGAAAAATATTTTATATTAAATGTAAAAAAGGTTTTAATACCATTCAAAATTGTAACCTCAACTAAACTTAAATAAATACATAAAAATTTGCCAATTCCTTCCTTTAAAGGTAGTTGGTGGTTTGAAATTACTTGGATTGTTGCTGCTGCCGTGTTTCAACTCCTTGATGCAAATGAATTTTGGCCAAGATGGGTAGATGGATAGATGGATGGATGGATGGATGGATGGATGGATGGATGGATGGATGGATGGATGAATGGATGTATGTATGGATGGATGGATGGATGGATGGATGGATGGATGGATGGATGGATGGATGGATGGATGGATGGATGGATGGATGGATGGATGGATGGATGGATGGATGGATGGATTGTTCGATTAGTTATTTATTGATATTTGTTTAATTATTTATTTTGTTTTTCATTCATTCATACTTTCATTCATTGATCGATTGATAGATTTATTCATGCATTCATTCATTTTTTTTTTAAAAATTTGTTGGTTTGTAATAATTTCTTTCAAAATATTTTCTTTATTATTTCTATTAAAACTATTATTTATAATGACTGCAAACACTTTATACACGCGTCATACAAGAATCATACATGTTATATAAAGTAGATGTTTATACAGAAAATAGTTTTATAAAACGAATGTAAGTGGTTATTGTAACAGTTGGAGCTATAGATGCAGCGCTAGAGAATTAATGATATAATGCCCATGCGCGAGAGACGAGGTGTGGATATGTAAGCGAGAAAAAAAAAACAACGAGGACGGACATTTTTGTTAACGTTGGGAGGTAGCGAGTTAATTAACGTATTCTGATTTTGCCTTAAATTAAGTTGGTAATTAGTGGTAGATAAAACAACATTTTGTTAGTCGTTCTTCGTAATATCTGTGGGTGGTTAAAATAGACATTTGAAGAACCAAACATATCGAAACGAGAAGAACCTCGAGA